TAAGTTTTTTAGTTACTTTGTAAGGGGCGAAAAATTTTGGACGAAGTTTCATTCCAGTTACATACTGTGTTCTTTTTATGCCAACTAATTCTTCTACGGCATATTCAGTTTCTAAGTTTTTATAAACGGATTGCATGTGACGGACGCTTATTAAAAGGTTTGTGGCCAAATGTGTTCTTCTGGAACTTTCCGGGGGCGTGGCTTTTTGCAGTGCGTCTTTTCATTAATCTGTGCTTCAGCAGAGAGTTGGGCTCGATAAAAATAGGTACGCGGTTGACGATAGTTTCGTTGGCCAAGAATGATTTACAGAAGCCTTCATCGGTTGTGAACTTTATTACGGCCTTAATGCCCAACATCTGAATGCTCTCGATTTCGCCGCTCTTGGTAAACAATTGTATTCATTTGGTAAGTTCGCGGCATAGACGCTGATTTTTTGGCGTTCCTATGGGAATCCTACCAACGGACTCTTTAGGAATTCCGCTCTTTTCTTTTAATCCTTCAGAGTTGGATTCCTCGGGTATCTTATATTCCTTGCCTTTCTTCGTCATCATCTTCCTCTTCGTCACTATTCTCATCTTCAGCCGCGACTTCTGCCTCGGAGTCGATATCGTCCTCAACCTGATCGTCGATCTGCTCCTCAGCGTCGGACTCTTCTTCGCTCGACGGTGGAACTTCCTTCACTGGTTGCTTCCTAGTCTTTTTGGAGGTCGACTGGCTAGCTGCGATCTGTTTCTCCTCTTCCTGTACCTTTAGTTTTTGATTGTCGGCCATGTGAGATAAATTAATTTTATCTAGGACGGAACTTTTCTCGACTATCTCCGTGACACACATTCCATTAAATGTCGATGCTAAGTCTCTCTCTTTTGCCCTGAACTCGACGCCGTTGGAACTGAACATTACGTCGACTGACTGTAGCACATCGTTTCCCACAACCGCAGAGTACTCGAGTTCGTTCTGTTTGGCGACATGGAAAGTTACCGAGAAGCATACACCATCAATCATGGCTATGAATGTCACTCCTTCAGCTTTCATCTTTTTGAAAATGAGTCCCTTCGCAGCTTTTTCTTCCAGTATGTTTGCAAACGGAAATAGTTTCTTTATTCTCATCGCAATTTTTAGGGATATATCCTTTCTTGTTGCACTTGTAACATATTACTTCGCCTTTGCAATCCTTAGCAATATGGCCTTCGCTGTTACACTTGAAGCATTTCCTTTTAAAATTGCTCTGAGTCGGTTTACCTGTCGATTCCCTGTTCAAATTGTCTTTAGTATTTCCCTTACCCTTCATCTTTTCGTAAATGCTTAATTCGGCTTTAAGTTCCCTAATGGAATTCGCTCGATACAACCCTGCCTTGTTGACCTGGCTATCTGGGATGCCATCTATGAAGTACGATACTAGACTTTCCTCATCAAGATTTATCGGTTTGCTGATCTCCATTAAACTATAGAGATACTCGATGCATGTCTATTTTGGTTGCTTTTGCCTTTTGCGCAAAATTTTGTGTATCTCTGCGGAACATCGCTTTTTACCGAATTCTTCCTTCAACGCGTTTTTCAGCTCAATCCAACCCCTAACTCCCCTTGTACATTTAATGTAGAGCTTGGCTGCTCCAATCAGAAGTTTCTTAGCATAAATAAATTTCTGCAAATTATCCCAACTCACGATAACTGCAACGTCATCGAATTCAGACAGCCAGTGATTAACGTCTTCCTTTTCGGAGCCTGAAAATGATGAAACACTGTCCTGAATATAGCGTAGTGTAAATCTCGAGCTACTAGGTTTAGCCGCCTCTTGGTAATTGGAAGCACTACTAATACTCGCAACTTCCCCATCAGCCTCGCTGTCCTCATCGTCAGCCACATCTAATGCATAATGATCGAACAACCGATCCTGCAAAGATCTTTTTCTGCCAGTTGTATCCAAACCTAGTTCAGATAACTATGCCCTTAGTAGAGGCACAGTCATAGCGAGGATCGTTCTAGCATCCATAGTAATGCGTTCAAGCCGTTTACAAACAGTGATACAATTCAATATTTAAACGTTTTGATACAACAAAGTAAGAATTTAATTGACGTTAAACAATTCGTGTATTCGAAAAATATCATATATGAAATCGCCTCAGTCGCTCACCACACCCAATTGGATTTTGCTGTCTTCTACGTCTGCTTGAATTTTTCCAATCCAGTCCACTCTGCTACTTCAGCTCATACAACGCAACGATGTCGTCACGCTGCACTGCTTGCTCGTCTCGTTGCCACTTATTTCGCACCTTCTTGCTCATCTCCTGTGCCGCCGGGCTAGAGGCCGTCCTCTTCTTAAGTGTCGAAACGTTTCCATCGTTGTATTGCCAGGTATGTATTCTTTGGCTTTCTCGTTTCCTTTGGGCGCTCTATTTCTGCGGTTTTCCAACTTGATCGTTAGTTTTCTATAACATCAAAGAGCTCACTCAGTTCTGAAGTGCCATCCTTAACGTCCATGCTGATGTTTAAGATTGATGTGCACTGTGATAAGGCCTTCTCTTCTAATGCCTGCATCTTGTACATATATCAGCTTCTGTCGTGGGGAGCTTAACGTGGAGGTCTGTGTAAGAGGAGGAGTCTATTGCGTCGGTGTGGCCTCTAAGTTGTCCTTGTCCGCAAGGTTAGGATTTGGATGGGTTATCATCGTCTCGTTGTTGTCCGGTGATCTTGGCATCAAGCTACTCTTCCTAAATACGTCTACTTCATTGTCAGTTTTTCGTCGTACGTTGGTCATCTTGTGTGAGTGGGTCCATACTGTAAACCGCTATCTCCCCGCATATGTGCGGTAGTCCAAAATGACAGTGAGGCAGTGAGGTTCACGCGAGGGTTGACACAGAGCTTCATGGGCATCTGTGTTCAGAGCCAGGACAGACTCTAAAGCAGGAATGCATTCAACTGCGCCTGTAGCACCGCGCCATCGGTGTGCGGTTCGAACTTAATTGGAGAACTTAAATTGAACGGAGGCGAAGGGGGCATTATCCTCAAAGCCATTTCTGCAAGATGTCACACTTGCTTACTAAGGTAACAGAATGCCGCATTCGTCAGCCCGCAATCTTCAATTCAAAACGTTGCGTCCAGACATTGGTCCTTGTGCTATCCATGGTCGTGCCGTGACTAGGGATCGCGGGTGTGTCAGGCCCGTCACCCCGGATGGGGTGCCCTTGCGGGCATAATAATAATAATAATAATAATAATAATAATAATAGAAATAATAATAATAATAATAATAATAATAATTATAATAATAAAATTAATAATTAAAATTAATAATAACAATAATAATAATAATGTTGGACCAAGCAGCCAAAGACGCAGACGGATGAGCAGCGGTAGGCCTATCAGCAGTTTCTATTTTGTTTTGGTTCTACCAGTTTCGCATGCGCTTTACTGTTATTTTGTAGGGCATGCGCTTTTGGGAGCTTTTGTAAAACTTCTGTAGCTCGAAGCTTTTGTTGTTAAGCTGGTACTTTTTGCATCCGCCGTGGTTTAGTGTGCTGACCCCGACGTGATCGCACGCCGTTTTGATTATTGTGGTCAGTTTAAAAGTGACGGAAACTTGTTTTTGTTGTCATAACCGTGCACTTAAATAACATAATGGAGTCTGGAGCTGAAGCCATTGGATCTACTGTTGCAAGCAGGGTAAAGATGCTGCGGAGACGAGAAAAAGTGACCTATATTTATATTGGAAATTCTCTCAGCTAGCCACGAACGTGCACGTCAACATCCAGGTGGAAGTTGCCAAGCGCTCTAGTAGAATCACTCTACGTTATTGTATGGTACCAGTGGTGATGGTATTTTACCCATTCCATGCACGCCGATGCCAACATTCAGCGGTGGCTATGCCGAGTGGTTCGATTTCTGCGCCCTGTTTAAGACGACCATTGACAGCCTTCCTGAATTGACCAAGATGGAGAAGCTCAAGTGGCTGATTTCATGTCTGCGAGAGTCATTCTTGGAGTCATTCATTCTTGTTCTTAATAACTCTAACTATGATGTTGCCCTTGATCTTTTGCGCAACCGTTTAAATAATCGACGGTTAATATATCAGATATCAATAAGATCTTGCAGCTAAGGGAAGTCGCGCCGGGATCCGCTGTAACTCTTCGGGAGTTATCCGACCTTCGTATGCCTCAAGTCTGGGCTCTTAGCCCGCGGATGCTCATCCTTCGGCTGTCCAACGTGTAATCGCCGACATCATGCTCTTTGCATCCTTGCGAGCAATTATCCAGCACTGCTTCCGTTCCCTCGTCCGTCTTGGATCCTGCCAATGAGGCTGGCGTGGCGTACTCTCAGGCTCAGCCAGCTAACGCCTGAACATTACCCCTTTCGCCAGCCTGGTCACGGTACAGTCCTTCAGCTAATCGCTGCGTACTTCCACGTGCCATACCCTCACGTTGTTAATGGCAAGCGTGCTGTGGTCGACGAATCTGAAGATCGCAGCATCTTGGACTAATGAGTGTCAGCCAGTGCCAAAGGCAATGTGGAGAACAAAGAGATCGATCCCGAGGGCAAGTTTGTGAAGCTGTACAATAAGGGCAACGATGAGGTGGCCATTGGAGGCTGGCAGCCGAAGCGTTTTATCAACGAGGGCGGTCTTTCGACCACCTAGAAGTTCCATCGGCCTGTAAAAACTGAACCGTGTTGCCGTACTAAAGACAGCTATTGGAACGACAAGGCATGTGTTGTCAAGGTTGTGTTTGTTTGTTACTTTGTAGCGCATGCCCTTTGGAGCTTTTGTAGAACTGCTAAGGCTCGAAGCTTTTGTTGTTAAGCTGGTACTTTTCGGCGTGGTTTAGTCTGCTAAGTTGATTTGGTTTGATTTGAACTCGGAATAAAATTTGGAAATTAAACTGCCCCAGTTTAATTATTCTACAGCAATTAAAAACTCTCAGTTGCTTAACAAATAATGATAACAGTAATTAGATCAACGCAACCCGTAAAAAAAAGAAACTTTAAAAAACTGTAGTGTCTCATAAAGGTTTACGTTTTGGTTAAATAATATTATTTATTTGCCAATACCTATGGATTCTAAACGTAAAAATGTTTCACGACGACACTATCATTTAGCACACTATAATTTTCTCCTACCATAATTACTTTAAACTTTTTTAATATTTTTATTATAATTAATACTTTTAGAGTGTATATTGAATCTGTTGGGAAATATTTAATGGGCAATCACCAAAGACGACACTGAGGGCTAAACTGCATCTTGACAGAGTGCCTTGTATCGCAATTAAACTCTTTTGAGAATTCATCAAAATTTGCCAGAGTCTGCATCACACGCAACTCATCCACAGCATGCTTTAAATGATCCTCGGACTGTGAGGTCATGGTACTGACAGCCGTCCGGCCGCAAAATATCTGGGCAAATGTGATAAAGAAAAGTTTCCGCTGACTGAACTGTGGCTTAACCAAATCACTTGGCTTTTGTGTGTCAGCCCGCGAATCGAAAAAAGACTCATAAGTGAGCCGAAGTGCTACATAATCAGCCAGTGTTTCGTCAATCCACTTTGACCCGGTGGTCATCTGCTGCTGTAGGCAGTTTAGCCCTAGTTGAAATTGTCTGTTGTCCCCAATCTCTTCAACTGGGCCTATTATGTTTCCCTGAGCATCATAGTCCATTCCAGATAAGTCGAAGCCATGAGCCATTTCATGGGCTAAGGCAAAACCCATCACGGCATACCGCTGCAGGTCGGTAATGTTGCGATGCCATACGGGTAACTGAAGGAGACCGTACGGTATAAATAGCAGGTTGCGGGGTCTGATATATAGAGGAGACGAATTGCTTGCCTCCCAGCTTTCTGTCAGATACCTGATGCTGCTCCTCGTAGAATTTGTCAAGTTTGAGGAGAGCAGATTATGGTTCTCCTCAACGCGTAGGCGTAGCAACAGCAGCTGATTTGCATAGAAGGAATGACCGCTCAGATTGACACGGTCGTTGTATTGCTCAACGTATTCCATTTCCTCAGACTGAAAAAATCCCAACTGCATGCGCACTGCATGCAGCTTCTGCTGCAAAATGTGCAAGATTGGCTGCGATAATCTCATCTGATTCTTCGCCAAGATCTGCGCAAAGCGCCCCTTGAGGCGCTGAAACAAAGAGCGGACGTTAGACTCGGACTCCGGATCAGAAAATTGCTGACCAACTAGCCAACTGCTAGTCAGGGGCATAGCCCTTCTGAGGCTGGCAATGCACCCGTCCCGCGATATATCGGAAGGACCCTCTTGTTTGAGGAAAGCCAACCATTTAATCATAATATAATTGCAGACGGTATCCGGACTCTCTTCATCTACCAATTTACAGAGAGCCTTAAGGTAGGGGATATTTTCAATAAACAATGTAGAGTGCAGATCCAAATCGAAATCAATGCTCAACTGACGCATGAAAGATAGCCATCGGAGCTGAGGTAGGTAAGTGTCCAGGTAGCCAAGTTGCATTTCGTGCGCACCCTCGTCGTCCTCCAGCTCTTGCAGTCGGTGCAATTTCCGCTCGAAATCATCCACCATCCGAGCTAAGGCGTTGGCCTTCCGCTTGGTTAGACCAATATCTAGAAGCAATTCGATCATTGCTCCCTGGCCCATTGGCAAAGTCTCATGACGACTCGGTTTGTTCACGTATATGCTGTAGCTGCGCGAGTCGTCCCATCTCGGCAAAACATCCTCTCTCAACAAGACCCCGTTTAGGCCGTGTAGACGCAGACGTCCTAAGGTAGATATCCAATCAAATCGCTCCGGACTCCATCCTCGACCCACAGACCACTGCGTGCAGTTGGTGGGCGGCAGTAGATTAATATATTTCTTCAAGTTGTAGGGCTTAAGGCGTTTGCAATAACGATAATACAGCCGCATCTGCTCTAAAATGTAGGAGCTTTCATTTCTGTTTCTCAGCAGGAGTGCAAGTTTCTTGTTTACGGAGTGGTCTATCAAACCTAAAGTATGGCTCGGCAGCAGCTGGGTTTGGTAGTGTTCACGACCTCTGACCCACCTTGCCCAATGCCTATGGTGCGGAGAGTGGTGCTGCTGATGCTGCTGAAGCCAGTTGCCACAGGCGTACTGGTAGAAGTTCTCACAGGGGCGCGCCTTAGGGTCAATGTAACTCAACAGTTGCTCCGCCAAGGATTGTTTGATGCTTCGGGAGGCGACAGTCTGGCGGCAAGTGGTAAGCGTGGTCCGCCATGAGAGTGAAAAAATTAGGCAGGCCACCAGGCTAAGCGTCACCATTATGGTTTCATCTGCGACAAATTGTAACTGGTCAAACAACGATTCAACGACGGTGAAATATAGTTGGGCTCGCTGTCAGTCATCATCTTGAAAGGAAGCCGTGGTACGCAGCCATACCTACAGACTAAATAATTTCTTAAAATTGTTAATGATTGAAGAACTTTTGTCGGCTACTTGTCCATTTGGTTGATTTAAAAATTTCAATAAAATAAAAGAAAATACTTTTGTTGCATTGTGTAATTTTATTTCTTTAACTGTATCTGGAGCCACAGTAGTCTATTTTTGTCGCATTTTGATTAGACATAAGTGCGCGCATATCAGTTTCACCTTGGCCTTGAAACCCAATGGCTAGTTGTTGCGTCTGATCTACAACGAGTACATCATCTGGCATTAAACTTTCCTCATTCTGTTGTCTCCTCCTCTTTCAGAACCGAAACTATTCCAGGTCATCCGTCTTACAAAGCGAGCATGCGATTGACGATTACCAATGTACAAAGCAGCGATTACGGCAACTACAAGTGCGTAGCCAAAAATCCTCGTGGCGACATGGACGGCAATATTAAGCTATACAGTAAGTGGTTGTCTATCAACTATGGATGTCTCTTAGCTAAGCCTACACGCATATGTGTTATTTATTGTTCGGCGACAACCGCAGATGTCTCAATAACCGCTGAAATATCATCTTTGTATAAGAGATAGAAAGTTCCGAGTAAGCATACAGATTCTAGAGAATGCCTGCTCAGCATCGAATCATAAGCCGCGCCAAACTGTGGCATCTATAATATTAAGATAGAACTTTTCTTTTGACCTTGAATATTATTTTTCCATATATCAAATCTGAAGTCTAACCCATTAAAATTTCATATTTTAATCATTTTAAATTACGAAAATTAAGAAATTAAATAAAGACTTAGCGTGTAAAACGGTTTCGCACAATTTATCTGCGAACAAATTTAAAAAGGGTTAATCACTGCTTACATTGTACACATAAGTATTCTCTATTTAGAGTTGCTTGTCGGTTGCATTCTTTAAAAACATCTTTTTGGGTCCGATAAAAAACGAACGAAAATTAGTCATTCTCCGCCTTTCGTGTATAGTTTTGTTTAATGGAACAGCATTTAGAAATGAGCAATGTTTTTACCGAGCTGCAGAATACCGATCTGAAACTAAATTAAAAATTTATCTAATTCTCCTGAATTGGTTTTTCTAAAATTTCATTTATGACACATTAAACAATTAAATTAAGGGACACTTTACCGACTTTAATTTTTCTGTGTAGTGTCAAATCCGCCAACAACACAGCCTCCGCCCACAACCAAAACGTTGCCGCGCACACCAAATATAACAGCAGAAAAATCCCTGGAAAGTTACACCAACACTCCTTTAAGCGGCATTGTCGTCGAAGGACCAACAAATTCGGTGATGGTATCCGGCAAATGTGAGTCCTTCCAATGTTTTCCCAACAATTGATTAAGGTTATGCTGTTTTCTATTTTTTCCAGCGAGCATAAAATACCTATCGAATCTGAACGAGATTGACAAATCAAAACAAAAGCTGACGGGCAATAGCCCAAAAGGTTTCGACTGGTCTAAAGGCAAGAATTCTGAAAGCCAGGGCCATACGGCAGCCCCTCGCTTGCCTGTTACCTTCTGGCTACTCCCGTTCCTTTCGCTGTTGGTTAAACACTGGAGTGGTTGAAAATCGAATAATACTTATATAAATAATAATAAAGTGCCATTAAAAAATTTGAAATAAAAACTTTACAAAGCCAAAAATAGGTACTTAAATGCCAAAGCTTACAGTAAGGGATAGCAACTATGTAATTCCAAAAATCAATGCATTCCTCCAAATTAAAAGATGTAATAATCAGCGTCTGTATAGTATACTGATTTTTATAAATCTTTAATCGTTGATGGGTTTTGTTGGTCTTTAATTAATATATCTTAGCTGGTGGTTGGAAAATCTATAGGTTTAAAGCAATTAAAAAAGTCTTTAAAATTATATCACATTATTTTTAAAAAATCAGCTACTTTGAAGAAAACTGTAAATAACCCTTATATGAATAGCTTGAATTAAAATTGCAAATTGTAAACTCATTATAGGCATTAGATATAAATGTTAATTTGTGTCCAAGTGGACATCAAAGCATATAAATAAGTAGTTATTAAAAAGAAAAGGCAGTCATCGATGCTCTAAAAACCAGGAACCATAAGCATTTAAATGAAACAAACTAATAAATATAAAAAAAAACCGAAACCCTTTATTCGAGTGCTTCGACTACCAGTTACCCGTTATTTTTTGAACCAACGCCGAGTGAAATTTTACTAGTTACGTTAGTTTAAAATGTTTACCTTGACTTCACAAAATATATTAAAGGGAAAATTTTAAAATATTTTAATAAAAAATAATTCCTTTTACAGGGTGTTTGGTACATCGATAGATATCGACAAAAAATAATATATGAGGTCAAACCAAATCATAAACTTTTATATTAACGAGGTTCTTTACAGTTCTTCGTGGTTATTGCGTGATACCGTGGGCGTGGCCGTATGGTGAAATCATTCGAGATGGAGATTCATCTCTTAAATAAGCATGCTTAATACCTACTTTCTAGCTTGATTCTGAACAGATAGCGGCAAATGTTGGTATTATATGTAAAGTTATCGAGTGGAAAAGAGAATAACAGAACTACTCGTAGTGGAAGATTCCTTTAATTTATCGGTTACCGGGACGCAAGTACAGACCGAGCTTCAACGTTCGGCAGTGAGAGAGAGCTAGGAGTCAGTCGTCATATTGAGAGAGGTGTGAACGATCGTTTGCTGCAAGATCACGATAAAAGTCTTTATTATTGTAGTTTATTTAACTAATTAAACTATCCTAATTAAAGTCATAGTCTATCTAGGTTCCACATACATGCTATGGTATATTGAAATCACGGCCCATGTGAAAATCTATATTTTTTATTATATTAAAAAATGGTATATACGGTCAAACCAACTAAAATCACAACGTATAACACTAAAGTTTTTGCGTCTTGTAGGCGTTGGATGAACAAACAAAATGGGGCTGTACAGGCATCTCTACAATACACGTGCCTAACCCCAATATTCTAGCACTCATAGTTCCTGAGCTCTGCTCGTTTTTAGTTTTTACGTTCTATATCCTCACATGCACAGAGAATCACCATGAGTTAATAAACATGCTTTGTGTTATACCATACCAATCATATCTTTTCCGATTAATATAATTATTTCAAGCTTTAGGTCTGGTGGACTAAATTTATGTAGGGTTCCTATAATCACAATAAGTTCACAAATTTACAACTTCTGAACTTAAAATTGTCTTAAAAAATTGTCTTAAAATAATAACTTCGGTATGTTTAGTTGTACAGTAAAAAAGGTAATGGAACATTAATTGATTTTTACCACGCCATGATTAAAGATATTTGGAGCTAACCATCACCCGACTAGTGTTAATACTGAGAATTAAATAATTCAATTCATTCCAATAATTTTCTTCCTCAGTTTATTTTGTAAAATGTTTGTAATATTGCTTGTTATATAGAGATGATCCAAGTATCTTGCCTATATGCTCGCAGAGGGAGTACATGAAGCTCTCGAGGTGCTCTATTGAACAGCTTCGAAAGCCGTCATTGTGTTCCATGCTATCTATAGTCGGAATGATGCTGCGCTGCTTGTACACTTACTGTGGTGTATTGTAGTAGTGTTATACGATTGTTATGAGAGTATGCTGTTTCACATTGCTAAGTTTTCTTTTCTGCTGCTTTAGAGCTTCATCTGTTCCGTGGGCATGATGGGTTCAGCCGCATTTGTATCCAGAAGAAAAGTCACGTAGACAACGCAGAATAAGTTTGGAGAAAAGAAGGACCACCATTGCTAAAATGATCAGCATCAACCTCGAGCCCCGTTTGGTTGCTATTGCTGTTGTTGCGCCAGGAGTATTTGCTGCGCCCCTTCAGGCCAGTGCTCGGACCCGTTAGCAAGCAGTAGTTGAATATTTCTGTGTAGTGGGCCAAAACTCCGATACTTTGCTTAAATCGATGTGATCCACGCTAAAGCGTAACTCGGACTTCTCTCCGTTGATAAATGCGAAAAATGTTCTCGCTTGCCATTAGTTTTCCACTAAAGGGTACGGGGAAAAGTTGAATATTTCTGTGTAGTGGGCCAAAACTCCGATACTTTGCTTAAATCGATGTGATCCACGCTAAAGCGTAGCTCGGACTTCTCTCCGTTGAGAAATGCGAAAAATTTTCTCGCTTGCCATTAGTTTTCCACTGAAGGGTACGGAGAAATCCCCGCTAGCAAACCAGTAGTGGGAGCAGCCCAATTGGCGGCCAATGTTTCAGAGGGTTCCGAGATTCCACAACCATATGGAAACATCGATTACAAGATCTCAGGTCTCGAAACTTTTTTGAATGAATATATCATAGATCAGACGAAGGCGCTCAGGACTATATTTAAAAATCTGTAAAAGAGATCGTAGAGTCTACTGACCTGATCCAAAATATTGACTGCAGATTCCGGGCTGGAATCCCATTCGGAGTGTTATCAACTAGACAGCCCGGACTCACTCTCCTTAGCCTCGGATTTTTGCAGCTAAAAGCAGTGAAATGAGTCTAACTTAGACTAAGAAAAGGGGCAGAAACTGGCGGAGCTAGGCTCTTAATGGGGCTACCAGATCAGCGCAAACCAAGTGCTTTTCAACCTTCGCCTTCAGTGTTTCAGCATGCACGATGAAGGTGGGATGCTTAGCTGGAATGTTTCCAATGAACTTGTTAAGTAGAGGACTTATTTCACGGTATGCCACCAAGCAAGTACCTCTTGTTTGAGAATCAGATCTCAATAGGTACTGGTGCTCGGTGTTTGCGAACCTCGTTTTACAGTTTAACCTGGCTAATTTTCTATTAATCAAATGAGCAATCTCCTTCACATAATATAAATCAGATAAGCTTAACTACTTGATAAGTCCTCTCGAATTATCCCTACTACTACTTTTAAAAAACCTCACAGTTTTCTGAGGTTTGTAGCCGTTATGGTCAGCGTGGCCATATGGAAACACATGTCGAGCTGCAGTGGCATCTCTAAAATTCTAAAAATTCCTAAGCCTAACTCTCTAGCTCTTATGGTTCCCGAGACTTAAGCGTTTTCGGTATTCCGCATTTTGTAGGCGTTAGAGTGGGCGTGGATAGAGGGAAAAAGCAATTTACATTGTGGTATAATTGTGTATAAAACTACATACCTAATCCCACATTAATATCAGTTATAGTTACCGAGATATTACAAAAATAGGTACGTAAGTGCCAATGCTTACAATAAGAGATAGCAACGATGTAATTTATTTAACTATTATCAAATTGTAAATTTCAAATCGTAAACTTTGGTTTAATCGCAATCCATTATTAATTTTGTTTTAATTCCAAAAATCAATGCATTCCTCCAAATTGAAAGAAATAACAATCAGCGTCTGTATATTTCGTTTACTCATTTTTATACCCGTTACTCGTAGAGTAAAAGGGTATATTAGATTCGTTGAAAAGAATGTAACAGGTAGAAGGAAGCGCTTCCAACCATATAAAGTATATATATTCTTGATCAGTACCAATAGCGAAGACGAGTGGGCCATGTCCGTCTGTCTGTCCGTATGAACGCTGAGATCTCAGGAACTATAAAAGATACAAAGTTCATATTAAGCATGAAGATTCTTGAGGTCCCACGTAGCGCAAGTTTATTACAGCATCCTGCCACGCCCACAAATCACGAAAAACTAAAAACGTCGAAATCTGAGGAACTATTTGAGCTAGAAAGTTGAAATTCAGTGTGTATAATATTTAGATGCCTGAGCATCTTATAGTCGTACTATCACACGCACCCATAAGCCCACAAGGCTCAAAAGACGGATTTCGCATTTTCTAGAAAAGCTGATATCTCGGTAACTATAAGTTATAGAAAGTTCATGTAGCATGTAGGTTTTTATGGTGCCCCAAATGCAAATTAATCTTTTCCCATCTAGCCACGCCCACCCTAACGCCAACAAAACCCGGAAAACCAAAAACACGTATTAATGAGTTGCCACTGCAACTTGTCACGAGATTTCATTCTGCCAAGCCTACTCTAACGCCCACAAACAGCGAGAAACTGTATAGTCTATAATATTATTAGGAATGCCTTCGTTTGACTTTGTATTTTTGTTAATATCCAAATTTACCAAAGATTTTTTAAATCGGAATATTATTTCTATTTATGAAGAAATTTAGGTTATAAGGCCTCACATGAGCAATGACGTCACTATCAGTTACTCAATATGCTTTCTCTGACGCCTTGTGAATTTGCACTAGCAAAATGAATATTTTAAAATGTTGTAAAACAGTAACGGGTATATTATAGTCGCGGCACTCGACAAAAGCGTTTTCTCTTGTTGTAAATCTTTAATCGTTGATGGGTTTTAATGGTCTTTAATGGTTCACCCAACAATGTTATTTCACATGAAATAAAATATTCATCCTGGTGGTTAGAAAATCTATAGGTTTAAAACCATTAAAAAAGTCTCTAAAATTATATCACTGAAAAGTACCCTTACATGAATAGCTTTGAAGTGCAATGCAAATTGTATACTGTGGGCCCGGAACCGTTCTTTTAATTTTTGAATCGGTCCATGTTTCCTGAAACGATTAGAACGTTGTCCTCATTTTCACCGTTATTCTTATCGGATTGGTCTGTGTTAGTACAATAATAGGGTTTTAAGTCCCCCACGTATGCCCGCTTCGTTATCTTCTCGGCCTGCTTTCTAATCCCTGCGATCACCGGCGAGATGAACTCCCGGACCTCCAACCTACCCCAAACCTGTTGCCCTATGTTAGGTTTCCATTCTCTTTTCCTCAAGTCATAGTGCCGTTTCTGGGTTTCCGCTGCGTACCCCATGTTCTTACACGCATCTGACCGGGTCAACCTTAGCCTTTCCCATCTACTGGAGGCCGACTCCTTTACCAGACCAGAGCCTTGGATGACCCTATCGAAGAGTGTTCCGGGAAGTCGCAACTACTTCCCATATAGCAACTGCGCTGGGCTATAACCTGATGATTCCGAAGTGCTACTGTTATATGCCAGCATCAACTACGGCAAATCCTCGTCCCATTTGGTCTGTTCCTTCCTACAAGTCCCGCTATCATGGTTTTAACCTTTCGGTTGATGCGCTCCGTAGAGTTCTGTTGCGGTGTGTATTTT